GTCTTTTATATGTTAGTGGGAGAAATAGCTCATTGATGGCTGTTGTAAGGAGGGTATAGAAGAGGTAGAAAGTGTTTAACAGTGTGGTTTATTAAGACATGTTCATAGTTATCCAAGATAGGAAGAGTTTGTTGTCCAAGTCTAAGATTCTGAATTTGCAAAGCTCCGTCTGTTTGCTCTGGCAGGCCCTATTCCTATCTGTCTTCTTTCTTCTCCTACACCAGACTTCTGAATAGCTGAGAACATGTCTCGTTCATTCTCCTTCATTTACACATTCCCAGTACAACTACCGACACAATCCTCTAAGAGAAAGAGGAGCCTAACAGGAAAATGTGTTAGTGTTCTATATTAAAGCTCAGTAGGTTTTCTTTTACACAGATTAAGTGACCTCCCCCAACACACACACACACACACACACACACACACACACACACACACACACACACTATAAATGTTAAAATGCACACCAGTGTTTCCCAGGCTGTCTTCTGTACCTGCCAAGCACTCTCTCGCTGTTACTCGCCACCAAGCTAAGTTGCTCACTTTGAAGCCACCTCTCACATCTGTGAGTTACTTTCTCAAGCATTTACATCCCCTTTCTGGCTTCAAGTCCCCATCTGCTTTCTATTCCACTTACGTTTGCTAGGACTCTAGAATGTTCTACTTTTCACGGTTATTTGTGACTTGTCATTAGAATGTATGCCTGTGGTTTGTCCTGAGTGCATTCCATACCACACTGGACATCAGTTAGCAAATTCTATAATTCTATAATACAATGTTGTTGTATATACAATGAATTCTATAATACAATGTTGTTGAACAATACACTGTTCCCTCAGCAGAATGAGAAGTAAGAGCCACACAAAGAAACCTAGCAGGACAAAGAAGTCCTCTGTGACACCCACACTTCTTCCAGAGATTAAAAAAAAAATCAATAGGTGGCCAATGTTTGTAATGTAATAGGAATATAGATAGAAAACAAGCATCCATCTTCCATGGGGTTCTGAGAATAATTGTTAACAGTCAGCTTAAGGACCTCAGTAACTTAGAGAGGATAGAATAAAATCAGAAAACTGTGGAAATGAGGATAGTTTACAAACTATCTTATGAACATTTTTAGAAGCCATTAAGACCATCCAGCTCTTTTTATAGTACAGGTTGCGTGGGGCTTGAGACCAAACAACCTGGCATGGCTTATTTTGCAGTATGTAAAACAAGAAAAGTCATATTTAGGTTCAAACCCAAATTGATTTAACTTCCTCTGTGAATGCATTGTAATTGGAACTGAGAGTCATTGCGTTTTTACATTGGTATTGGTGGGCTAATTTCATTTGTTGTTGTTTTCATTATGAGACTGATCTCACTGTGTAGTCCCTATTGGCCTGGGATTAAAGGCCATCACACACTCATTTGTACTCTGTGGTCTGGTGTAGACATGGGCTTCATAGTAATGTCATAATCATCTCTTTGTCTTCAAGTGTTTTCAAAACAATCCTAAGACTGGATGAGGTCTGCCATAAAGACAGCCCTCACCAGTGGCCCTGTCTCATTGATGCATTGGTGGCTTTGTGCTGAAGAATTTCGGGAACGTGTGCAACCTCTCTTTTGTTTTGACTTTATAAACCAGGAGCATATCACAGAAGTAATTGTACTAAATTTTGTAGATTCATAAAAATGTCAAATGTCCTTGAGGAACAAGACTATGTCTCCTTTGGAAACTCAGGGATAAGAATAAATATGGGAAAAGACTGGAGGCTTGTTTTTGAGGGGGAAGTGTCATATCTAGCTTAATAATTCTTGCTTATAAAAATATTAGTCAAGAAGAATGTAATTAAAATCTTTATGTGAATATCCAGAAACTGATACTGCGTAAAATTTACTGTAGTTCCAATAAAAAATGCCAAGTGTGAAATTTGATTTATACCCTGTCTCCCTTCTCTGCAGATGGAACTATGAATATCTCTACAAGTCACATCTTTGTCTCCTTCCTGTACATTGTGAATTGTGCTTTAATAAATATTTATTATTCAGCATTAGTCATTTTCTTTTTGCCTTATATATTGGCACATATGCAGAGGTCAGAGAACAACGTGAGGGAATCAATTTTCTCCTTCTGTTGTGGGGCTCCTTGAGTAGGATGGAGAACTAGGGCCTCAGATTTGAAGCAATCCTCCTGCCTCAGACTCCCAAGATCTGGGATTTACAGGCTTGAGCAATTGCTTTTAACAATGACTTTTACCTTGAGAAGCTTGTGGCCTGGTCATTCATTTGTAGTAGAAATGAGAACAAATGAACTTTAAAGTTAAAAGGAAGTAAGTTCTCATGGTGGTTAAGTCTGGAATATGTCATGCAGAAACTTCAGAAAGTTAAGTACGTCCATAGGCAGGATTTCTTACTTAGAAACACAACAGAAACAGCCTTTGCGATTCTAGAAGGTACTATGAGAACGAAATGAGGGAAGGCATGCATGTGAAAGCAGATCAGACCCTGCACATCTTGATGAGAGGAGAGGGGTGTGAAGAGGAGAGAGGAAGTGAGGGGCTGCCTGACTTTAGAATGCAGTGCCCACAGATTCCAGAAGAGGTTGCCACATCCCCTAGATGGAGCTCAATTGACCGGTGGTTGTGCCTGGATCCGCACTCTGGCCTTCTGGAAGAGCAAGGTGTGCTCTTAGGCACTGAACCAACCGCCTCTCCAGTTTCCCCACACCCACTCGACCGCCACCAGGCTCTATGTACATTAGGAATCACAGCACAGGCTTCTGTTTTCACAGCTGTAAAATGTGGACCCTGGGCTCTGCCTGCATTTCCATGATATACACATTCCATTGGCTGTCTTGCTCACCTCCAAATAGTTTGACTGGCACATTTAACATTGCTTTCTTTTATTTTGGCAAAACTGGGCTTTCCAAGGTCCTTTCTAAATAGTTCTAACCCTGGAATAAATGAATCCCTGCTTTAGAGCGAGTGAGTCTGTGGGTTTACGTAACACCAGTGACAGTCCCTAGAAATGACTGGCAGCATCTCATCCAGGCTCTGTGGGCAATGAAGATGAGGCTGCAGCATTGAACTGACAGGCTGAAGTTTACTTCCGGGCTTTGCTTTAAATTTAGAAGCAGTTGTGACGACTCAGCCATTGAAAGCTAGAGTTTGACTCAGAGACTTATTTCTCAGCCTTAACTCTCTTATAGAATCAGGCCTCACCACCTGAGAAAGAGTATTGACTCCCAGGCACTAACCAGCCAGGGAGGGAGGTTCTTACTGTGGAGCCTATATTTGGCTTCATCGGAACATCTGTAAGCTACCTAAGCCTTAAAGCTGCCCACCAACTCAAACTGAAATCAATGTACTCATTTTACAAAAGGGTTAATAGAACATTTTATTAACACTCGTTTTGCAGCAACAAAAGAACAGTTCACATCTCTTTACTCAGCACAGCAAAGGTTATGGTCACATGATAGTACTTTGAAACACAAAGCAGAGAGGAGTTTTAGTTTCTTAAGGTCAGGAGTGGTTTGCATTTAGAAACAAACTTCATGTTTTATATTTGCAGTAGCAGGGCCTCCAGTCAAGAGCACAGGACACTGAACAGATCAAATACCCATAGCAGACACACAAACACACGAGGTGACATTTCGCGTTAAATTGGGTTATGCATTCTTATCACAGCAGAACATTATAAAGAATTCCAATGTTAACTTTTTTTTTTGAAAGAAAGAAATCATTGCTACCACAAGCAACATGGGCATAATTTACAATAACAGGAGGTTTTATGCTTTGCACTTATTGCTTGGTACACAAATGTTGCAGTTCCTGTTGAAATATATTAAGAAATGACGAGCAAAATGCCTTTTTTTCCCATCTAAAATTCTATGATTCTATGAAAGTAGAAATTGCAATCCCCTAACCCAACATTAGGTGTATGCTGTTTTTGGTTCTGTGTGAAAAGTATTTGTTATGTTTGTGTGAGTGGATATGTATAAGATATATAGGGATAAAGATATAATTTCATATATTTTGTTCTATATACTCAAGACAAATATCTCTTAAATGGGACATTAGATAATAAAATTGTCTACATATAGAATCTCTATTGTTAATCTTTTCATATTATATATAGCTTTGTGGCATGGGTTTCATATAGCCTCTATTTATCAAGGAAGATTATCTAAATCAGTTTCTATATATTTTGTTGTTAATATTGCATTTTAAGGGCTACAGCTTCATAGTAAATTTTTATTAGATTCTTTGTGATTATATATATATATATATATATCAATCATTTTTTCCTAATGTAAGTTACAACCAGTACAAAGTTGTAATAAAAAATACATTGAAGTCTATTTCTTGTTATATTTTTTTTTGCAAAAAAAGTTATGTGATATGTTACATGAAAGTTGAATTTTATTGAAATGTGAAGGGTTTGATACTGTCAGGTAATGAGTGGGAGAGCATAGAGCATACCCCTCCCTTTACGAGCTCTCTTTCATACAAAGTAAGAGTTTGTGCCCAAGCATTTCACAAAACACTGCAAGATAAGCGTTTTGAAGATCACAAAATATCACACACTGTGCACTCCTAATAACAGTTCAGTATGAGTACTAGCTGCTAGTATACAATATAGTTCTTCAATTAAAAGATATAGCCAGCCCATGGTATACACATGATGATTGCAGTCAATGCCCGATCTAGCCAGCTTTCCATTCTTACTATGTCTGTACACAGGATTTCCCTGGGATATTTTGCAGTCTGGTGTAATAAAGAAGTAAGTGCAGTTTGCATGATCAAGTAGCTTTGGCTCCTAACTTCTGTAGGATGACATGTGCCAACTATTTTAGTTGTGCTCTCTAATGTGGTGATGGGTCCAATGAACACCTACTTATTTCTACAGTAAACTTCTAAATCACAAACGAAAGGATGAAAGACCTGAATGGAAATGGCATAACGTGACAACTTCCACAGATTGCACTTGATGGGAATCTCATGGCCTGTTTGGAACTCATATTTCTTTTTTAAAACAGCAAGACTTGCTTGGTTGGTATGTTTACATGTTTACACCACATTTTTAAGATTATTTTGTGCAATCACAATTAATGTAATCATAACACCAGAAACAAATCCAGCAAGTAGCGTCGTTATGAATAATCATCTTGGTCCTTATAGGCGTATGCATCTTGTGCTCCTTCCTGAACAAATTCTTCTTTTTTCTCCCAGCCATTAGGCCAGCCTCCGTTCTCCTGTGTGGTAGCACCGTAAGACTTGGTGGTGCCGTAATTTATATAATTCTGGGTGATGTCCCCCGTCTCTTCATCCAGCTCATCTTCATGAATGAAGCCGCATTTTTCTTCACTTGTTTCCTCGGGGTCTGCCCAAGGTTGTTTCTCTCCTGAGGCAAATATTGCATAAAATATGACTCCGCCATAGTGGACCAGTGCAGCAATGAGGAAGACGTACTGCCACTCTTCACGGGACTGTGGGGGGAAAGCAGGGCTGTGAGAGCGGACTTTAGAGTGGAAGGCCACCCTGGGGACACGCTCTGCCCTCAAGCTTTTCATGAGGCACTATCTTTGGGGCCACCCAGGTCGGGCAAACCCTTTGATATTAAACTGTTTGTCTTATTATTTAAACATTTAAGGTAAAAGGTTGAAAATAAAATCTTAAATAGATAGCTCCTCTGCTGAGTTCAAAAATAGTCTCTTTTATGTTTATTAATCATTTTTTTAAAGTTTTCCTTTTGGGGAGGGGGGTTGGGGGAATTCACTATGTAACCGAAGCTGGTCTGGAAATGAGGGTTCTCCTAACTCCCCTCAATGCTAGAGTGACAGCCATGCACCATCTTAGCCAGTACTCCATTGCTTTGTCTTTCTCATTCATTTTCCTCATTTCCAAATGTTAAAAACTCAAATTTGAAGCCCTATATGTACATATAAAGACAGCTAAATAATAGTATTCCACATAAAACTGCCTCAGAATCTGGGTTAAGATTGATAACATCCTTGTCACAACAAGGATATCAGAAATACGTATTTTTTTTTTTTTTTTGGTATAAGGCCCTAGCTTGTATACTTAACACTTCTAAATAAATAAATAATCAATGTATTTAGGAAGGGCTTGAGAAAACCTTGATGAATGGTTGGGGACGTGGACCTTCCTGGAGCTACTGTAGAGATCTGTCCCTCTGGGTTTAATTTGTCCTTCCTACTTAGAGGTGGGCCAAAGCTGCTTCCCAACCATCAGAGAGCATTTCTACAATGGAACCACGTTTACTCCTACCTTGTTCTTTGTCATTGCACCAACAATGATCGGGCAGACCATCCCCGACAGTGTGCCAACGCCATTTGAAATGCCCATTAAGATACTGGCGTACCTTGGAGCAATATCCAAGTGGTTAACATTGAAACCTGAAACATACATAGAAACTTGGGCTCAAGGCAGCATAAATGTCTAAGAAGTGAATATCTGGTACCGAGCATCAGATCACATCTTCCCAAAGGGTACTGGATGCATACCATGTGCTTTTCATAACTGCATTCAAGGGCACCATGAGAAGGAAAGGACATGGAATCTCTTTTCCAGTACTTACTATGGCTCACTGACAAGCATTCTCTTAAGGAATTGATCAAGTACAACAAAGAAACAGTCAGAAGGGGAAAGGTGAACAATAGCGTTTCTAAATGATGTTTCCAGATGTTATAACTGCTGTCCAGCACATAGATAAATATTAGCAACGATCAAGACGAATATAGACAAAGAGGGTGACTCTTACCAGAGATAGCAAATCCACTGAACCCTACTGCAAGCACCAAGAAGGAGATGGCCACCCCTCTAGTGTGAGAGTAGCCAACAACCAGAAGCAGGGTGGCTTCCATGCCAAAACCTTCGGAGGCAAGCATAGGAGAGCATTATGGTTTTGAGCATTTTTTACAATGTATTTTGATCATATTCTTCTCCTCCCCCAAATCTTCCCAGAGCCACCCGCTACTTCCTTACCCACCCAATTGTGTCCTTGTTTAAAAAAAAATAGACAAAAACAAACAAAAATCCTATTAAGTGGTGTCCATAGGCTGTTGGGTGTGTGGCCTTCCGCTGGGTTATGGTCTGTTTATTAGGACTTACACTCCCTAAGAAAACTGAGTCTTCCTCTCCCAGCAACTATCAGTTGCCAATGCCTCCTCAGTAGGGGTGGGGCTTGGTGTCCATCTTCTCTCAGTGCAATAGTGGCATAAACATAATTGGATTAGCAACTACTGACATGACAAGTCCTACTCCACAAGATTAACCCGTGTGTGGCACCATTATTGGGCCAAGAACCTGAGGTTAGACAAGGCATAGGCCCGATGGGAGACCTTTCTACTTTAACTTTGCTAAATCGACATATTAAACTAACTCCAAGTGACTTACTTACCTTAAAACCTGCATATTGACATATCTCTCAGCCCTCATCAGAGAAACCTTCTGTTCACAGTAGATAATGATGAACACAGAGACCCACAACTCCCAAGGTGTAGAGGATAAGACACCACAGAATTCTCAGCACCAAGCAGAACATAAGTACTGTGCATGCTCGCACATGCACGCGCGCGCGCGCGCGCACACACACACACACACACACACACACACACCTTCAAATGCTCAGGTATCATTGTGGAGGAGGGCACAGAAAGAGTGTGAGGGACAGAGAGAGTGGATGACTAAAAGGAAATGGTGTCTTCTAGACACAGCAGGGCAGCCTCACATATGAACTCACAGTCATTGTGACCGTATGCATAAAACCTGGACAAGCCCAAGTCATTACTATAGCTTTTAAAATTACAAAATTATAGTGTAACTTTTCCAAGTAAACCAAGACTACTAACAAACTCATACCAGTTTGGACAGTCTACCTTAGAAAGACATGATGATAATAATTTGTGCCAGAGATTATTGGGCTAGGGAGGTTTATTACTATATGTACAAATGACTTTGTTAAGTGTTGAGTGTTGAAAAACTTGGCCGTGGGAAAATGATTTCAAATGAACAATGAAGGTGCGGGCCTAACTGCCATGCAGTAGTCTAACACACGCAGAAAATCATATTCATGTGTATGTAGATCACAGGACCCTCAAACAGGAACATATGCTTACCACTCCGCACACACTTACCACCACAATTCATGATCTTTCTCACTGTAGTTGTTGAAAGAATTTGCTTGCTTCTTAGAAAATCTGCAATTTGCCCCCCGATAGGCACAATGATCGTCATGACAAGGTGTGGGACCGCAGATAGCATGCCAACCTGACAAAAGACCAGAGGGAACAAGAGTAAGAGAGAGTGGGCAATTGAGTGACCCTGGCTTCCTGTCTCTGTCTTCATCTGCTCCTTATGAGCCAAGGAAGGAAGAACACCGTTTCCAAACGCACCCTCACTCTCCTAGAGTAAGCAGTAAAGTCCACAGAGCAAATCGCAAAAGCTAAGTAAATTTGCTTTGATCCTTTTTCTGTAATCTTAGAGAAGAAAAAAATTTTTATTGCTACATTATGATTCAGTGCATTCTGAGTTCATGAATCAACCCTTCTGAATCTTGTCAGCGAGTGAGTCACACTTGTTTATCCATCTCGTATCCTTAAGTGTGTTTGCACAAATGCATCATTAATGAGAGGAAGAAGGCTGAGGGAGAGATCTAGGGAGGAAAAGATGCCTTTGGCTGTATTTAGATTTTTTTACTTTATACAAAAGGTGAAAGACTACACATTTGCATTTTAAGATACCTCTTCTAAGTTTCATAGCATACATTTCATTTATGGAAACTCACACAAATTCTTCAATTTTACTTATTTGCATCAAGTGTTGTTATACCATGGTATGCAGTCTCTAAAATGATTTCATAGAAATTAGGACAATCCCAAATCTAGCATGCTTTCAACACACATTTTTAACAATTAACTATGAACAAGAGACAGTTCCCTAGGTACTGATGGGGAGGAGATATGAAAAATAACACATTTAAATGGGCTATTGCCATATGAGTGGAGGTTCTCACTAGAGTATATTTTTGAGGCACAACTTTTGGCAAAGGAAAGACTAGAATGTATTGTTTGTGTTTCAGCACATCTTCCAAGTGGGTTATAGGGGATATGATATACAGATTCTGCTTTTGGTTTACAGTGACATGCAGAATATTGTTCATGCTCGCAAATGAGAGTTATGGTCATGACTAGTTGAGAGAGGAAAGCAATCCAAGGCAGATTCAGATTTGAACTGTTGAGTTGTCTATTCTACTTAGGATGGGAGCTTTTATAGTTGTATTATTGAATAGGAAAACTGAGATTGAAAAGGCAGTTTTTAAATAGTTCTACCCAAGTCCAAGGACTGAGCTCTTAGTGTGGATTTGCTCAGCAACTATGAAAAGGAATTTTAAATCAGATATTATATATAAGCATACTGGTTTGCTTACAAGTAGGTGTTCAGGAAATGTGACAACATAAATAAAGGTATAAGGTAAATTGAGTATATAGAAAATATTGCTTTGGAGAATAACATGTTGGAAAAACATAGTGGTCCCTTATTCTTAGTCACCAGAGGTATATGTCAAAATTCAACATAAATGAGGAAGATGCTGAAGAGAACACACACATGTAAATGTTTTCTCAGAATCCCATGTTATGCTTTCGTTTTACAAATGCAGGCTACCTGCTTAAGAGTGACATTTCCTGTCATTAATTACTCTTTCAGCAAAGCCAGGAACAAAACTGAGAGGATCTAACAGCTAGAGGCCGCCGAGAGGAAAGCTTTGGTCCTAGTTTGGGTGCGTGGAAGTATGAAATCTTCTAGATTCTTAGGCAAAATTTCCTGCAAGTTATCCATCAGCTCTGGTGACTTATCAATAAATCCTGCACACATTATCTGTCTGATCTATCTCCTCTCGGATTGTCTTTAGTTTGTTTTTTTGTTTTCATGAGAGTAAGGTGGCTATTTATCATCTAAACCTGTTCTTAGTAGTCCCAGGTCCCCAGACACTACTCTTCCCTCTTCTGTGCCAACTCCATCTGAACCGTGTTTTGACACTGTTGGGAGGCAGAGCATGAAGTACCCTCTCCAACTGAGGAGCTCAAGGGAACAAAATGTCTCCTTTCATCTGATCCTCCCCTGTATTCTGACGTTTAATGGTGCTCATTAAAATCCTAAAATTGACTTTGCTATGATTTGCCACTCTCAAAGGAGCTGAAAATACATACGTACTACCATAGCAAAATACACACACACACACACACACACACACACACACACACACACACACAGAGATAGTTCACTTATGTGTATGCATACATTAGGCCCTATATATAACTACGTAATACTGTGTGCAGTGTGTACATGCCTGTGAGTATTGCACATGGACTTATGTTGTCTTAACTAAGTAAGCCTATTTGGAATGAAGATTAAGGTAGGTTTCCCCTGTGTGGTTCCATATATATGATATATGTGTTAAAGCTCTAGCACATAGATAAGAAAATTAAGGATGAGAGTTATTCAAAGACCAGCCCCAAGTTGTAGGTCAATACTTCATTGTGCAGCTTAGGTCCAAAGTCACATGATCTGGACACACCTGGATGTCCTAGGCCCACCATGACCTCTTCCAACTTTTTTTTTTCAAGTTGGAGAATTTAAAACACTTTTTACCCACTTACCATGATGCACGGAGAATGTAACTGAAACTTTAGTTTAAAAATAAGTGAATTGATCGACCCATGCATAAGTTCATTTAGTTTTGAGAACTACCCTGATTTTATTCAAGTGTTTTCAATTCATTGGGGGACATGAGCCCAGGAAGATCATTTCATTACCATCAGTTGGCACCTCTCCCCACCCCCACGAGTCCTGGCTTTATTAATAGCTGCCGGGTGTCACATTTGTCCTAGATTATGAAAATGGACTCATACCTCCAGCAGTCTTTGTTGAGAGGTGTGAGACTCTCAGAGGTCCCGAGGCTGCCCTGCAATGTTTGATCTGCTCCGGGGAGAAGAGGCTGGCCTACAGCAGCCATTCTTCTCAGGGAGAGGGGAACTGTTTCCCTAGAAACCGCTGCTTCAAAAGAGCTCTTAGGCCAGCAACTGCCAGGCTCAGGCTTTCTCTAGCCCAGCTCTCAGATAGCCTTTCAATATGACACAATATGAACAGCTCAAGCCCACGCCGGACTTATGTAATGACACAAGGAGAAATGGCATGATTGTTGCCAGCAAAGGTAAATGGATTCAGGCCTCAGCAGAGAGCTGCACACAGAGCTCAGAGCTGGCACTCAGCACTGTCCTGCTAAGTGTGTGACTCAATGTACAGGTCAACTGACGTGTGACACTGTAAAGGGGATCAAAACAGAAATGGAATGTCCGTGTCCTAGGTCTATAACTAGTCAATATACCTTTGGGCAGTTTCAATAATCACCCTCAGTTCTGTTTAATCATCAGTCAGACAGAAATGATGATAGCTAGCCATCTGGTCTACCAGATGAGGTTATTCATGATTATGAAAGAAACTTCTAGAATTTCACATCCCTATACAAACGGAGTGTTTAAAGTTGAGTTCTCCCTTATAGAAAATCTGGAAATGGATTTATTTCTGTGTCTGTAAACAAACATCTTGCATGCCCTGTGTGTGTGAATTGGTAAGATTTTTGTTTATACTACAAAGCTGCAAATATCGGGAAAGAGAAGCAATGTTGTATTTCCGAATAGCACTAAGTGTCCTATAATAGTCTCAACAAATACTTGTTAGATTAAATTGGATGAGCAAAGTGCAAGGGCATTTTCAGCTTTTTGATTGCTAAATGTAACTTTCAATTGGACACAGAACACGGAAGAAGAAGAGGTGGATAGTAACCCAAACACAATTCCATTAGACTAGATTGCCTTTCTTTCTAGCAGTTTGATTGCCTCGGCCTAAAGATTGTTGTATTTGTTTGTAGGGAAAGGGCTGCATTGTTGCTCAGACCCATTGAGACATAAGCTACAGGAAGACAGAGATGAGATTTTTTTCCCCTGGATACCCAGAACTAGAGAGATATTTCTAGCAGGCAACAGAATAGGACACTTGCAGACACACCATGCAAGCACGCGCACACGCGTGTGCACACACACACACACACACACACACACACACACACACACACACACACAAAATTACCTGGAGGTAAATCATCAAGGTTAGAGGACAAACTTTTTGTTAAAGAAAGGAATATTCACTTAATACAAACATTCTCCCATACTTTAATGAGGTGAATTTGTACATACCTTGCTGATTTCAAATCCAAAAACTTCCTCAAAATAAGCTGGTTGACTGATGAGCAGTAAATAAAAAGTCCAACTCCTACAGAAGTTGGCAACAATTATCGCGTAGACGGGCATGGATGTGAAAAACTTCCTCCACGGGGTCTTGAATTTCTGAAAGTTCAAAGAGTGTAACCTGTTTTAGAGTTTTCAGACTTAATGTGGTGCTTTCTGTTTTCAGGTGCATGGACTGGAGTGCGAGTGTGAGAAGAGATGGTAATGACAGCTTCCCACTTCACCTTGGGCGGTGAAGAGTCATTAAAGGAGCAAACAAAGCACCAGTCTATCCCTCTGAATAAGTACTATGGTTTCTAAAGTATGTAAAATTCCCATATATAGAAAATAAATTCCAAACCCATTGGTTTTAATGTCTAAGATTTTAAAGCAGTTTTTTTTTCTCAGCAAAATACGACCAAATCAGTGGCTTTGTGATATCTAAAATGCTGAAAGCTGGATGTACTTGGACAAGAAAGAAAATATAAGAACCTGTTATTGCCTATTCTCTCTGAAGTCAGCTGAGACATCATCTACCTGTAAATTCCCTTGACAGTTAGTGGAGACCATTACATTTTATGACACTAAGATATAAGTTCCTGAAATATCCCATGATGTTGAAGGTCACCAGGTACAGCCCAGGACATCATTACCAGCTAATTATGACATTTGGGTCTTTTCAAAATAAAAACAAAATACCTGGGGATGGCCGTGGTTATACTATCTTAAAAATTAAACCTCATACACTTAATATTTTAGACTTCAAACTATTTCTTATAGTCACAGATATTTTCTCAGTTACCTCATAGTAAAGACAAAAGCTGTCGCTGCCAAAGATACTCTCCTAAAATAACCTCATTCAGAGTTCTATCGTGTCCTTGTCATGATAAAATGACCAACACAGGAAGCAAATTCTCTCACAGACTTAGTAATTATTTCTTCATGTTGAACCCTGTAATTGTTAGTATTAAACTGTCTGTGCTTAGACTTTCAAAGATCACTTCAAATATAGCATAGTAAGAAATCATGTAAGAAACATGCACCAGTAATATATAATAAACATTGTAGCTTTTGGTAAGTACTTGTTCTGTGACAGCATGATTGGTAAGCTCCAAGGGATACGTATGTTTTTTTAATCCTGTATGTCATAAATGATGAGGATACTTCACAGATAAACAAAAATGGCTAAATACTGGAATGTGTGCATCAGAATACCTCTGTGTATGGAGCAGGTAGAAGTCAACAATTCCTTGTTCCTACTGAGAGAGTACTTCTTTGCTTATAGCAGCATTATCTTCCCTGATGCTACATTCTTCATACGGTAAAGCAATTCCCCAACAGAAGTATCCATTTCTAAAAGATTTATTTTGTAATGTGCATATTTGGTCTGAACATCTGTCTGTGCACCACATGAGTGCCCAGTGCCCACAGAGTTCAGAAGAGGGGTATCAGATCCCCTGGAACTGGAGTTACAGATTGTCATGAGCTTGCTCTGCAGGTGCTGGGAATTGAACCTTAGTCCTCTGGAAGAACAGTCAATGCTCCTTCTTAACCACTATCTCTCCAGCTCCCAACTATCTTATTTTATGGCTTAAAGATTGCCGGGAATTACAAGAAGGTATGCAGCATCCTGACAATGTGCTGTTTATTCAGATGCTTTGGGAATATGGTTATGATAACAACTTGTCCATGTACAATCCCTAAATTTTCCTATATTTATATCATGTTTAAAATTATTCCCTAGAGAACAACATAAAAGATTTAAGTCATGCGGCTGACGGTAACCTGTGATTTTTCATTGGATGCACACGCAGAGCAAGGGATTATGAAAGACTAGGAAGGCAGAGTGATTCTCACAGATGTTAGCCGGGCTGTGCATTAGAAATTTGAATGTGGCCATGAATTAGGCTGTGTCGGTGAGTCACTGCTGATTGTGTTACATCCTGTAGATCTCTACAGAGGAGAAGATGGCACATTCATGGGACAAGAGTTTGAAACTGTCCAGAAAGGTAAAAGTAAGCAGGACAAGATGCCAACTGTGCTTGTACCTATCTAGGAGCCTTCTGGATACTGAGTCCTCATACCGCATGCCTCTTCAGCAGGCTATAATTCAAACCCAGACCTTGAACATGCTTGGGTCAGGCTAGAGATCCCAAACTCTGAAAACAGGCCACATCCCTGAGACACATTCCATAAACCTTCCCATGCTCCCTATCTGCTGACACAGTTGCTGCTGGTCAAAAGACATCCGGTTCTCCTGTCCGCTGGGGCCCACCTTTCTCTCGGCTGCATCAAGAAGCACACTGTTCTGGTGCCCCTGTACTTGGTAATCTCTCCGCTCTCCCTCCCTCCCTCTGGAGTATTTTGGGTGCCCTCTGTGGAAACTCCCTGGCCAAAGATTTCTGGGTCAATACCGATGCTGGCTTCAGAGAAGCATTGTTGATTGTGTCAGCAGTGCTCAGACAAAACAATCTGTGACTGTGTTGACTGCTTTGTTGTGCGCAGTGTTTGGTTCAAAAGAACTTGAAACGTAAGTTCTACCTACATTTGATCTTATTTTAAAATGTATTTGCCAAGTGACATGACTATATGAAACCTAGTAAGAAGAAAGATACAGCGCTTTTAACGGACAACGGGGTATAGGAAGTGGAAAGCCAAACTAAGCCATGCTTCTAAACCACTGGTCCTCAACCTTCCTAAGGCTGTGGCCCTTTAATGCAGTTCCTCATGCTGAGGTTATTTTCCTTGCTACTCCGTAACAGTAATTTTGCTACTGTTATATATCATGATGTGAATTTTTTGGAGATAGTGGTTTGTCAAAGGGGTCACAACCCACGGGTTAAGAAATACTTCTCTAACCCATCTATTTTTATATTTCATTTTTCATTCTGAGAGAGGTTGGGGAGAATGGATGGGAGAGACAGAGAGAGAGAGGGGGACAGAGAGAGACAGAGATAGACAGAAAGACAGAGAGAGACAGACAGAGAGACAAAGAGAGAGACAGAGAGAGAGGGGGGGACAGAGAGAGGCAGAGATAGACAGAAAGACAGAGATAGACAGAAAGACAGAGAGAGACAGAGAGACACAGAGAGACAGAGAGACAAAGAGAGAGACAGAGAGACAAAGAGAGACAGAGAGAGACAGAGAGAGAGAGAGAGAGAGAGAGAGAGAGAGAGAGAGAAAGAGACTGGTGATCGGTACCAGACTACTTCTATTTAATAAGGAACTGTAACGCAGTTAATCCAGGATGGTAAGATGAGCCGTACAGATAGGCATAGACACCATCGTGAAATGCTTACTTCCATTGCACCTAACAGATTTGCGCTCTCTCCAATGCTCTCTTCTATGTATCTCCGTTCTTCATCTGTAATGGTAGGGTGCTTTGCAGGACTCTCGTAAGACACCAGAAGCCAGAACATGTACCAGACCATGCCAAAGCTTCCTGCAAGAAAGGGTTGACAAGGCGATGAAAGGCAGTTGCCAGAAATACAGTTAACAGCCAAAGGTCGAAGATTAACAATGATCTCAATGGGAGCCATTTGATGTGGTGTGGGTAGCTGTCTTTAGCAACTGCTTTCTGTCCTCTGCCTCTGGACATCTCGAAAGGCTGATACCTCGGTATATTTTTGTCTCTAATTAAGCAGCACTGATACATGGGAAACTTACAAGCAACTACTGAATGATAGAAGTTGGGAGTTTAGTCACACATCTCATATTCTGTCACTGAGCTGCTCCAGGCTGGACACAATGCCACACGGCAGAAGGATAATGAGCAAAACCAAATTATTCATTTTGGAGAATTTCATGAAGTGAGAGGTGAATCTTTTTCCTGTTTGCTGACCTTCAATGTACAAAAGTGGTTTAAATTTCCAGAGAGGGAGAAATGTCTGTTCCCCTCTCCGCCCAGCACTTCTAAAGGTCATACACTGTTTTGAAGTAAAACACAGAAGAGTTTTCTGGCCTAAATGACCATGTCCGATGAACACAGGCCTCCACAACTAATACGGAAGCCCTTCACGTGATGTGACCTACACCGCATCCTAGCTCAGACTTGGCCGATCGTTCTTTTGGACTGACAGAAATTACATTTCTGGGCCATAAACTGTTTTCTCTGCATTCCCGTCCCCATCTTTATTTATCACCATCAGCATGGATGCACACTCTCACTGTGCATTGTAAATCTGTATACATCAACATGAGGAGGAATTCCAGGGGATTTATCCTGCTTTCCCCACTACCCGCCATCACATTTTTCTTGCAATCTCTTCCCTTCATCCCTCAGGTAACAATCTAAATGCTCCTGAGCTAACTAATACTTCTTCACATTTCTCTATTTAGTCTCCAAGACATCTTCCTTAACCCTGCACAGAGCTTCTGGTGTGCTCCCTTCCTTTTAATTGCTGAACCCAAAGCAAATGTGAGGCCGGATGTTGTGTGAATCTCTTATATATGTAGTTATTGTGGCAGGGTTTTTCTAGGCTTAAATCCTGTGTCGTACGTTGATTGTAGAATTCAATGAGCATCAGAGTCACTCGAGACCTCCACTACAAACCGGAAAGGTTTAAGTTTTCTGATCCAGGGTCCCGTTACATGCTATAGTCTGACCTCTAAATCAGAGTCCTACTGCCTCGGCCTCTAAGTGCTGGGATTTTAGTGTGTACTACAAGGTCCAGTGAAAAGTAACATCTACAAGCATCCTTTGGGGGGGGATGCTGTTTCAATCTCACAGAGCAGTGTGTGTCAGTCACACAGTGAGCATCCACTAACTGAGAGTCTATCATTTGATGAATATTAACACCGAGTTCCTGTGATGTCTCTAACCGCTCGCTCGTCATGCTTGCCCATACTTCATGTCATGTATGCCACATGCTCATCACTACCATGAACCTGTCTCATATCTTGTGTCCTATGCCACTTGGTGCTGGGTAGCTATTACTTTCCCCATTTACTCTACTGTCCAAGTTCTATCGCACCAACTTTTCAAACAAAAACGGAATGTGTTATTCAAGATCCAGTTTTTGTTGCCGATAGCAATCAAGCATTCTCTGTGTGATTTTTCAAATATCTAATGCTTGTCCTTTGATTCATTATCAATGATAAATATTAAATGAGATGTAATGAAACATAATGGCTTACTTAAATTAGCATTCCTTTTCTTTTAAAAGTACATTTTATGGAAAACAACTTTTTAATACATTTTCTGATCATAGTCTCCACTCCCCCAAATTCTTGCAGACCTCCCTCACCTTCCAACCCACCAAACTCCATGCCCTTTCTTTCTCTATTTAGAAAACTTGCTTTTCTGCAAGAAACAACTACCATTTGAGATGTGCCTACGACTTTAGAGTTCCATCGTGTCATCAAGTAAGTCATAGACTAAGCCAAATCAGGGTAGCAAGTAGCCAGACAAAGTACAAACTGTGTTGAATCACAGAGCCTTGTGAAAACCTAATGAAAAAGTTCTCTCCAGGAGCCCAGAGAGATGGCCCCGCAGGTGAGGACACTTCCTATCACCTTTGAGTTCTGTTCCCAGAATCCACGAGGCAGAAGCAGAGAACTGACTTCTACACGTGGTCCTCTAACCTTCGTGCACATGCCATGGCGTGCACACACACACACAGAGAGAGAGAGAGAGAGAGAGAGAGAGAGAGGGAGGGAGGGGAAGGGAGAGAGACAGAGATGGAAAGAGAGGGAGGAAGAGAGAGAGGCAAATACATATATGGCTTACATTGCTGGACATTTACAGGTCCAAATTTCTGTTAATGGACTCTTCACTACCCAAAGAGCCCTCATATGAAGCAATTATTTGGTAACGTTCTCCAGGAAGATGAATTTTCCATTTTGAGACTTTCTCAACACGGGAACAAATGTGGATGTGGCCAAACTCAGAGAGCTTTAATTTCCGTGACTGGTTACTACTGACACTGTATCACAACTGATAGATGGATTGGCAGGACCACCATTCTCCTGCCTGCCACACCCATTCAGCTGAGGGAGGCAGAATCAAGAAAGAGAGGTGAGTTGGGGCTAACCCCTCAGCAGCTTTCCAACAGGAGCCTCTTCCTCCCCTCACGATCAGAAGCGTCGCTCACTATAAGATCCCTTACTACAATATCACTTAGTGTAACGTCAGAGTCTCAGGAAGCAACGTCTCTTCAGAATATAGAGTTTTTAAGGCGAGCGCGTAGATAAATTGTACGGTGTAAGCTACCGTGTTCATCTTAGCCTCTACATAACTCTATTGCAAGCAAATGTGACATACCATACACATAAAATACCGAAGACCATCCAGTGTACTGCACAAGGATGCCAGCTAAGGGCATCGCAATGACCGCGCCAGCGTAAGAACCTAGAGAGGAAGGGATGAAGGAGGAAAGTGAGTGAGAACAATGAGAGCAACACAAGTTTTCTCCTCACGTGTGCCGGGACTGACACGCACACGCACATGCATGCACACACATGCGCACACACACGCACACGCACGCACACACACGCACATGCACGCACACACGCACACACACGCACATGCACGCACACACGCACACACACGCACATGCACACAAGGCACACACGCACACACATGCAGATGCACACACGCATGCACACGCGCACACACGCATGTATGCACACAAGCACACATGCGCGCACACATGCACGCACACACGCACAGTGCACACGCACACATGCACACGCACGGACACACGCACACGCATGCGCGCACACACACATACCACATACGCGCACACGTGCACACACACGCACACACACATGCGCACACGCGCACACACACGTTCTATCCACCCCCACCAAACATCCAAAACCTCCCATCGCACCTGTGTAGATAGGACATAACAGACAACCGTAGCTGGGTGTGGACTGGGAGGTGATGAAGAGCACTTACTGCTCTCACAGAGGACCTGTGTTCTGTTCCCAGGCCCCACACAGTGACTCACAACCATCCATCACTCCAACCCCGGGGATGAGGTGCTCTTCTCTGGCCTCCCAGGACAGCAGGCACACAGATGCTGCACTTACATGCATGCAGACAAACACTCCGACAGGTCAGATCAAAGGAAACAGATCTTTCTAGAAAGGCATGCATTGTCTTGCACTACAAGTTTTATCTTCACATGGTGTTTTCTGCTTTTATTTTAAAAAAACTGATTGTGCAAACAGTATTTCAGATAGCGACAAAAACTGCAATATTTAAAGTCTATGAACGTAAGCCTTAATATCTACAACTTCAGAATCTACAGATAATAACATTACTGATAATTTATTATTGGTGGGTTGTTTACAGTAGCTCTGAATTTTAAAGGGGATTTCTGTTGTCTCTTGGTCTGATTTAGAAATGGAACTTTTCTTGCCTAACTATCAGGGGCTCAAAAAGGATTTGTTTTCAGGTGGCCAAGCATGGTGGCACATGCCTTTCATCTCAGCAGATCTTTGTGAGTTCAAGGGCAACCTGGTTTAAATAGGGACTTCCAGACCAGTTCTGCATAGCTATCTCAAAAATAAAAAAAATAAGTAAACAAATAAAACTACCAATTAATATATGCGAAAGGTCCAACTTCTAAAACAATACAAAACGCAACGAAAAGCTGATTTAAAGATGCCATTGAGAATTACGGAATTAAAAAAGTGGTCAGAAACCAGACACTTTTGTAAATAGATTTATCAGCTTCAAATCCCTATCTATGTTGTCCCTAACTGTGAACCCACCACAGCTACACAATGCTCACCACAAAAGGAGGTGGTAGCCAGCCTACTCCTCTCCAAAGGAGGGGCCCACTTGCTCCATATCCCGTGACAGGCTGGATAGGTGACACCCTGTAGTGGGAAAAACCAACATGGGCAGTTAGGATGCAGAGCCATTGGAGTGAGCACACCCCCTCCCCCAGCCTGACTCTAATCAAATGGTACAGGCCCTTACAGAACCAATGGAGTTCTGTTTAAGACATTTTACCCAGACCATGACTGCACAGAGCCTCTTCAGATGTCCCCACCCGTCAGGCTTTCCTCTTATTCTAATTTTCTTCTCATTAAAGCAGAAGATAAGATTGCCTACCAGTTGGTTTACCTGCAATCCTAAATACTTTGTGAAATTTGGATGCCTTTTGTGAGGCATCATATCAAGTGGTTCCCAAATACAAAGACCCTAAATAGGAATTCAGCCATGTAGAAACTGAAGTTAATAATAACTAGCTTTTTCTATAATTTTGATTTTATCGCATTTTTCCCCTCCATTTTGGAAGGAAGAAGAATCCTCGCAGTGTTTTTATATTTATGTGGCTTTTCTATTTCCATCCCACTCCAGGTAGAGAAGGCACAGTTTATAGGTCAAACTTGGGTTTTTAAATGCCATTCCTTCTTCAAAGTGTTCAGGATACTACATCAAGAACCAGTTGTATAGTTACATGACCAAGAATATGCTAAACAAAACCCTTCAGTGTATTAACGGAAAACAGACTTAAAATTCTCAAGGGGGCTGGAGAGATGGCTCGGCAGTTTGGTTCCCCGCATCTATCCATAACAGTCTATGACTCCGGCTCCAGGGCATCTAAGTCCTCTTGCCTCCTCTGGTGCCTACCCTCATGTGTGCATACCCATATGTAGACATGTACACCTACCCATAAAAAAAACGATTCAAACCTTGATCCTTCCAGAACCACTTTCAAGTCCTAGGGATGCCTGTTTAGCATGCATGCATGGGACCCTGGGTTTGAGCCCCAAACACATTGATCACCTTACATTCCCAGTGCTTCAATCTTTATTTTAACAATATTCAGTACGGTTAATATCTATTTATACACGAAGACCAAAATAAGCTTGCAGCTTTCAGTTTTAGCCAAACTTGAAACGATGCCACCCTGTAGTTCTTACCTCCACAAGCCCCTGCAATATCCTAACGAAGATGACGCATCCATAATGCACTCTGGCTGCTGACGGGATCAGCATATTGAGGGTAGAGGTAAGCAGTATTGCAGCCCCAAAGACCCTGGAAGACAGAGATGGGAAGATGTGTGACTCAGTGTGACTCAGACAATGCAAAACTCCTCAGGTCAAGCTAAGTAGTTAAGAAAAAACTACAACCGGTTTTAAAGTAGATGTTCCCCTAAAAGAATAAAATAATTCTTATGTGGATTGCCTAGCTGTCATAGATGGGTCCTTGAATTACCTTAAAGTTGTACATTATTTATGTTCAAGAAACACAAGTATTGGTCAAAGGCAATCATAGTTTATACTCCAGACATCACAAGGTTAGATCTCACGGCAGGTGTTTATCTTAATGTACCAATCAATGTCAATTCTCATTCTCCTCCTCCTCGTTCCCATTTTTTCTTTATTGTGGGATACAAAGGTGAACAAATTCTGTCTGAAGTACGCCCACAGGATTGTATATCCACAACGACTTAAGAAACAATTGGAAATAAAACCGTTAAAGATTTCTTTTCTTTTTGCGGGTATAATTTTCATTTAATTTAATTATTTTTGAAAGCATCCATAATTTTCATTCTAAGGAATAAAAATGCACCTTCCATGAGAGTATCAGAACTGATGCCTTGTGTAGAAGTTTGAGGAACACGCTCTTCCCAAGGCTCTAACAAAGCGTTACCGAGTCACACTTGGACCTTTCGGTTCAGTCTGGGTGGGTTGCCTCGAACATGTTACATGAGTTAAAAACTTGAGTTTCTGAAGGAGCCATAATGAGTATTAACCTGATACTGAAATTTGATAAATGAGTTTATGAAGGCCTGGTGCAGAGCAGCTCTCTTCCCGTCCAACAAAGAGCGACTGAGGCAGGTAATTCTCTTGAAAATTTGCAGCCACATCTGTCTTCCTTTCCTCCTCACTGGAGATAGGATGCTGCGCCTCATGTATTCACAGCCATGGCTACTGAGTAGGTGTGCTCTGTGTGGAGTCAAAGACGGTATGGTATGCTAACATTGGAGGGGAGAGCACGTTTGTCTTCTCGTAGCTATTTTGGGGATAATTTGGATTAAATTTACTTTCTATAAACAGAACTTCCTGCCATGACCTTCTTTCTATTGGGAAGAGCTTTAAAATGGTGCGGTCATTAAATTAGTTGGAAAGAGATGAAGTTTTAGTCCTTTCGTTAGTTTTGAGTCTCGACTTCTGGGCTACTGAGATTCTGTAGGATAACCCTTAGTTGTAGGATGCTGGCTTACACATGGAGTGATGTCTAGTCCATCCTTGACCTTTACCCAACAGGTGCAAATGGTGTTCTCCCTCTCAACTCCAACAGAAAGTGTGTGCAGCAATTAAACAAGTATCACTTAGCACACAAAATCAGCCCCTAAGTGGAATCAGTTATGAATATCTGTTGAATGCCAACCACAATCGGAGTTAAATTTAATGAAAGCTTATTTGAGAGAAACCATGCTAAGACCTCACAGGCTGTAACCCCACAACCAGTAAAGGTCACAGCAACACAGGTATAATTCACCCATCTTATACATAAGAACACAATCCTTGCATGTGCCCTTTACTACAGAGTCCACCTTCGGCCTGTAGTGCTTCTAATTCATAACCACATGAAAATAGCTGAATGCTTCTATGTTATGAATTCCCCACTGTCATTCTAATCATTGCCATCGCTTCTGAAAGTACACTGATTGTATCTAACTGAGCAGGAATACAGTGTATCAAACTTTTGGAAGGTAAATGAGATTAGGATCTTATTTAATTTTAGACAATTGCAATGCAAATTATTCAAAGTAATGAAATTTTGAAGCAGCAGGATTCATGAAAGCCTTTAGCTCCCTCTTATCACACCGCCAAGACTAATGAAGCTCTTGCATTCACGGCTCACCTGTGTACGCGGCTTCAAACCCTCATTTGACTGAGCATATTGTGCTCAGAAAGAAAAAGAAGCTTTTCAGAGCACTTGCCATACTTTCCAACTCTATGATCTCAGCTAATCTTCTTAGCTGAGTTAGACTCTCTTTTCATCTTCTTGTTTCTCAAATAAGGTTAAGTGCCTCAGCAAGCCTGGTCAAGAAAACAGCAAGCGATGGAGCAGAAATTTGAACCTAGGCCCTTGCTCTTTTGTTAAGGATATTACTGATATTCAAGGAAGACCCATAGTGCACCAGGAGAGGGAAAGAGAAAAGCAAGGAATCCGGAAGCAGCAATCACCAAACACAAGTGGAAACGATATTCTACCAAGGGTGAACAAGAAGCCAAGCTTTTGATGGAAAGTCTTCTAGCCAGGTCTTAGAGAGGAATACAACAAAGAAGAAAGAAATTGTAAAAGGAAGGAAGGAATCACAGGAGCTCAAAACTGGAAGTGGTTATATTATGGATGACCATACATAATTTATTATGTACTGTGTATGTACTATGTGGTGCCTGGCTTAATGGATGGCATCTGAGAACTGCATGATTTGGCATCGTCATCCTGCAGGCAGAGGACACATCTACACAGATGAAGAATGTCTGCAGCTCTAGGCAACATAACTAAACACAGTAGGTAGTCCATCTTTGACTGAAATGTCACTATCGGACACAAGGCTGGACCAGAAAACAGGGCATTATTGAAGATGGCTGAATGTGTGGTACAGGGTATTAAGGAACAAGAAAAACAGAGCAGCTGTTGGCTGAAGAGAACCGAGGAGCCCAGATGGGACACAGGTAGGATGTGAGGCCATCAACATAAAAGTGACAGTTTGGAATGAGCACGCCGGATGAGATGACTAAGCCCCTAACGTGAAATGAGTGTACAGCTGAAATTGAAGGGTGGGAGCCATATGACCCAGGAGGTCAAAAATGATCCCATTTTCCTGTCACAGAAGCAAATGGCCAAACCCGCTGACAGTGGTAATAGGGGATTAAGGCTGGCATACACAGAGCAAACAAATGTTTGTAATATGCGATCTTTGTCACTTAATAACTGCATGACAAGCAAGCTGACAACCTCTCTGGCCGCTGATTCCCTGCCTGCCACAAGAATTGAACCTCATGCCCCTCCTGACCGTAGACCTAGAGGAAATGATGGCAGCACGCAGACGCCACGCCTGCAAACACATATTTATGACTTTAGCATAACTATTCAAGATAACCAAGGCTCAAATTAGTTCACAGGCCCACTAACCAAAGCAGGGTGAAAGAAAATATGGGGCCTACACAACGGCATGTTACTCAGCCGTAGAGAAAAGGGTATGTCTTGCAGGAAAATAGATGCAAATAGAACGCATGCAGAAAGGTAAGGCAGGCGTGGAGAAACAAGCGACTGCTGAAGATTTTCAACTATGTGGAAACAAAATTTTATAAGATTTGCTGTAGTGGATGACTACAAGAAAACCATGTTAAAAAAAAAAAAAAAAAAAAAAGCAAAACCAAAACCAAACCCGACAGGGAAGTTCCGTATAGCCATTATGGCGACATGCACAAAACCTTTGCAAGCTCGAGACAGACAAATCCTATCATGGGGGTGGGGGTGGTCATGAATTCTCACCCGTAACTGAAGAGCTATTGGCACTTGGTAGCTGCTGGAGGTGGACAGTCAATTTTCGTTAGTGGAACCCTTGATAGGTTGACTACACTCCAGTGGAAGGCTGGGTACCTATGACCATATGAGCAACACAAGCTGGACTCGGTGAGTTGAGGGGAAAGAGAACACAAAGGTGGTTCTCTTTTGGTGTGCCTTTAGGCATGGAAGAGGGGATGGATCTGGGAAGAAGTTAGGGGAAGTGGTTAAATATGATTGAAGTACACTATGCAAAATTCTCAAAGAACTATGAAGGAATAAAAATAAAATGTATGGAAGGAAAAAACCCACAGGGCAACAGAAGGCAGAGGGTAGAAGGCAAACTGGATAGCTATGGAGATTCATAGCAATAACCATGTGTTTATGAGATTAACTTGTACTCAGCAATCGCCTTTTAATAAATAAAAAGGAACTGTGTAGTGATTAAAATAAAAAGAACAGCACAGCACTGTGCAGGGTTAAGAATGTTGGCTTTAACCCAGACCTACAGGGCCTGGATTCAGAAGTCTCCTCTGTCATTGTCACCAAGAGACAGGTATAAAGGAGCTTGGGTAAGGTTCTGTGCTCCATTCACCGTCCTGAGAACAGGAATGTTATACACGACATACGCAGAAGGGTGTAGAGCATCCTAAGCACTTGAGGGGTATTTCATTGTAGAAGGGAAGCATAGGACAAGTGTGTTGACATAACTCCTAAGGTTGTTCAAGATGCAAGTCCGGATCCGACACAAACAAAATGTATCCACCCATGTAAGCCAGTCAATTATGAAAAGAATGTGTGAATGAGCTCTAGACTCCCACTTTAATCCATTGACCACGCCATTAAAAAGCTACTCCCGGGGCCATGCAGATGGGTCAGAGGGTCAAGACACTCGCTGCCAAGACTGAGGACCTGGTTGTGACTCCCGAGAGTCACATGGGAGAAGACAGAACCAACTTTCCCAAGTTGTGCGCTGATTTTAGCACGTGCGCTATCGCACACTCTACCGCAAATAAACAAACAAGAGTTTGGTTTTTTAAGAAAGCCGTTACTGCTAGCCCTCCTGCACAAATGGCGTAACCAGGACACGGAGAGCCTCGGCAGCTCCCCAGGTCATAAAGACAGAGAGCTGAGAATGGCATGCTTGCTGGATCTGTCTGTAGAATTCAGACATCCTATCCCTAAACTCAGTTATCCCCTAAGAGTAGCAGTGATGTGCTAATACCAAAAGTGCCAGAAACACACACACACACACACAGAGAGAGAGAGAGAGAGAGAGAGAGAGAGAGAGAGAGAGAGAGAGAGAGACACACACATACACAGAGAGAGAGAGAAAGAGAGAGACTCTGAGAGCTGTCCCTGCATCTTCATGACACTACCAGCAGGGCGGGTCACTATAAAACACAGTCGACTTCCACTAAAGAAAGTCTAGATTTCAACAAAGAAATGAAGGACACCCAAGAACAGTTTAGCACTGTGGTGGCGACACTCCAGCAAATGTGATGATT